GGCAGCTGATCGCAGATCCTTCTCCCGGAGCCTTGGAGATGTCAACACAGAATTCTCTGCAGCTGCTCAAAGCGGCCTACCCTGAGAACACACTCTCCATAGGATCTCAGAGTTGCAAGCACACTCCCAACCACCTGTGGAATGCTGAATTCCCACCAGTCTCCCTCTGAAAGGGCCACATTCAAGGACCTGAAACCCCCAAGGGAGCAGAACCCACAAGCTTCATCTACAGATGATTATGAGGGAACAGAATCTTCTCCTTACAGGGTCTCCATCATTTTTTTCTGTCCTGGGCTGACTCCAGGGCATCTGGAACAGGTGTCACCCCTCTTCCATCAGACAGAAGTCTGCAGTGCTCAGAGTCCCCAGTGAGCAGTCCCTGGCATTGGGCTCTCTGTGCTGCCTGCTGGCCACACCCTGAGGGATGGAGACAGGAGCACCTCCCCGCTTTGCGGATGACACGCCCCCAGCCTTCACTTTCACTGGCAACCTCACTCCCAGCTTGCTGTTGACTGCAGTCCTTCTGTCTTTTCATATTTGCAGATGGGAAGCAAAATCTCCCCCAAACCTCACTTGCTGTTGGGGTCCAAGGGAAGGAATTCTAATCATGCATGATGCATTTCACCAGTTGAGTTGTCATTTCAGCTCAGAGATCCTTCTCTCTTAGAAGCTGGGGATGGGGATAAAACCCTGGTTTATCTGCCGTCCCCCCAAAACTCCTCCCTTTCAAAAGTTGGTAAGCAGACTTTGTGTGTCTTTATCCAAGTCATTGATAAAACTTTGAATACTGAACAAGGCAAGCCAGAGGTAAAAGTTCCATGATTGACCACTGCAGGCCTCCTAGTTTATAGCACTTCGTACCTCTTTCGAGGGACTCTTCCAGTGAGTTGTGAATCCATCTAACTCTCCACATCTCTTTCATTCACCCTGATGAATACCTTGCTCACATCTGGGTGAGTCTTCAGGGTGATCAAGCATCTCAGAAGACCCAGGAGGAAAATATTACAATATGGTTGTGCCCATCAGCAATGTCAGGAACTCCAGAAAAAGGAGTGTCAGTGAGAAAGAAGACTGAACACAGCCCATGCCCGTTGGCTGTTCCTTGATTTGTAATCCTGGAGTGAGGTTTCGGTCAGGGAGATGATAGGGGAGCATTATTAGAAAAGAAAGGGTGGCAGAGAGCTGGATGCACACATGCATGTTTCTGCTTTGCAGATTGTGCAAGTTAAGGATGAAGAAAGAGGTGATCTCTCAAGGATGGAGTGAGATCAGGAAAGGGAGGGCAGGTGGTCTGTAGAAGGGGGACGTCAAGTTTGCAAGAGAGTGAGGAAATCATGCCAAATCCAGGTCCACAAAAGGTGTGAGGGGACCAGAGAAAGGAAGCAGAGAGAAAGGGGAGGAATGGACCAGGAACTGAGACAGAAATGTTTCGTGACATAGAACATACTAGAAAAGGGAACTTACGTGTGTCCAGTATAAGGAGAAGATAGGTGGTGGGATGGATTTTTAAAGTGAGTGATGGGCCAGGCACGGTGGCTGATGCCTGTAATCCCAGCCCTTTGGGAGGCCAAAGTGGACAGATCACCTAAGGTCAGGAGTTCAAGACCAGCCTGGCCAACATGGTAAAATCCAGTCTCTACTAAAAATACAAAATTAGCCCCGTGTGGTGGCACATTCCTGTAATTCCAGCTACTTGGGAGCCTGTTCAGAAGAATCGCCCAAACCTGGGAGGCGGAGGTTACAATGAGCTGAGATTCGTGCCACTGCACTCCAGCCTGGGTGGCAAGAGCGAAACTCCCATCTCAAAAAATAAATAAACAGAGTGATGAAGCCATAGAACGGCTGCTGTAGGGAGCACATTTGGAAATTAGCTAGAAACGGGTTCTGATGTTCTGTGAACACTTGCATGTGTTTGGTCTCCTAAGTAGGGTTTGCATGCACAGGTGAATTTTGTTTATGTAATTAATCAGGCAGAGCCAAACTGTACTTTAGCCATTTAAAGATGCCAGATAGCGGCTACTGTGCTGGGATGAGGCAAAAGGTAGAGACATTCCTGTGGAACTTCATTCAGATTTCTGTTGTTTATCATTTTGTGTTGACTCACCTCCTTGTGTGCATGCCTGTCCTGATCACATAGAGAGAGTTAGAGGGCACCGGCTTCTCCTGCATGCTGGAATCCCTTCCTCCCCATTGCCTAGCATGTGGGGGAGGGCAGCAGAAGACCACAGTGACCAAGCCCTGCACCCATGCAGTGCAGTGCAAGTTCAGCTGTTGGCCCTACTCCCAATGAGTATAGTTCATGACTGGCTAGAGCCAAACATTTGAACAGGAAAGCTTTACGGGGGACCAGTTGTGCAGAAATTTAACTGGGAAGCTAAGGGTTGCAATTTTTTTCACTGGAAGATCCAATAAATGCTGATCAGAGGGAGCTTTGATATGTGCATTTGAATTTCACAGATTAAAATAGTGTAAGCCTGTTCAGTTGATCTCTTAATCAAAAACTGTCACATCCCACCCATGAATTACCAAGTTTTCCTTATGATCTGTGAGTCACGTAGTTTTTTCCTGCTTGACCTATCCATTCACTAGGAGAGTTTTGCATAAAATACATGAATGGGGGCATTGTCTTACGAGAATCTGTGTGGAACAGGTTGTAATTCATAGTACTAGGATGTAAAAGCCCATGGATCAAGAAGCCGGACCTTTTAAGATTCACAGATGTAGCACCTCAGCCAATAATTGCACGGTATCATTGTAAGTCAGCCATGGTGAAACCTATGTGAAAGTTACAGTTACAGTGTTGTTGCTCTTTTAATGAAAACTCCAAGTCTCTGAAGGTATTACAGGCAGACACCCCAGCCCCCACCTTCTCCCCAAGCCCGCTTTCCACAGCAGGTGGAGTGTTTTGCTTCTGCCTAAAGACACAGGTGGGTGGGGGGATCATTTGTTCTCCAAATTCAGGAGCCCAGGAGATGGAGATAAAATCCCTGAGCAACCAGACCCTCACCTCCTGACCTCTTGTCACCAGCCCTCCAGGAATCAGCAACCACGGTGACTAAGAGCATGAAGGACACCCACATACCATGTGGGCCAGCCAAGGACTTCCTCCGAAGACTTTTCTCTCCCCTCCCACTCCAGCCCAGATCAGTCCTTTTCACGGGGTTGGCCTCAGTGCCAACACCCCAAAGGAGGCTAACCAGCCGGGGCCTCAGGCCCAGGCCCGACCTCCACCCAGCCCCAGCATCACAGCACTCTCCTGCAGCCCCCAGAATATGCCTGCGGCACAATGGCTGTTAGCATCTCGGGGAGTCACAGACCTTTGAGGGGTTAGTGGAGGCCATGGGCCCTCTCTGGCTGGGTGCTGGCCCTACTCGCCTAGGAGTGGGGCTTGGCATGATCAGTGGGGTGCTCAGGTGGAAGGGATCTCTCTCAGCCACAAAGCAGGCTGCATATCCACCCAGCCAGAAAGGAGTGGGGAAAGGATGAGTGGGGCGGCATGTCCTCATGTCCCAGGCTGTAGGTGCGTCATGAGGAAGGGCCCGAGAGAGCCGACGTAGGCAAGGGCTGTAAGCAGTGCTTGGAAGCCGGGCTGGAGGGACCAAGAGCCTGGCAGATAGAGGTCTGTACAGTTCACCTGAGCCAGGCCAATGGCCACGGGCTGGTGATGGAGATAGTAAAGTGGTCGGTAGATGAAAATCAGTCCCAATAACAGTAGCTCACCAGGTCACAGGCCAGGGCCTGGAAACACCGAGTCAAAGGAGGTATTTTGTCTAAAATCCCAGGTGATTTCTTAATGAGGGCCAGGTGCGGTGGCTCACAGTTGTCACCCAGCGCTTTGGGAGGCCAAGGAGTGAAGATTGCTTGAGATCTGGAGTTCGAGACCATCCTAGGGAGACACCATCTCTACAAAAAATGTAAAACTTGGCCGGTTGTGATGGTATGCACCTGTAGTCCGAGCTACTCAGCAGGCGGAGGCAGGAGGCTCACTGGAGCCTGGAAGGTGGAGGGTGTAGTGAGCTGTGATTGCACCACTGCACTCCAGCTTGGACAACAAAGTGAGCCCCCCTTCTCAAAAAATGTCTTCATGGTTGTCTGCAATTAGTTATGCTTTTCTGCAAGTGGTGCCTCCTCCTTTGGCAGCGACCTGGGGGCCGGAAGTGGGGATAGGAATAACAAAGGCCGACATGGACCTGTGGAGTATCTTCCATGGGCCAGGCCCCAAGTCCACAAGGGTCTGTACACTTCAGGGAACTAGCAGGAAAGCACTAGGCAGTCGGTACCCTTTTCCTTTATTTTATGGGTTGGGAACAAATGAACCTTGGAAGAGTCAAGGAACTTGCCCACAGACTCAGATGTGGCAGATGGGGTTGCAGGGTGTGTCCCCAAGTTCCAGACCCAGCCCCAGAGTGTCTACCAAGCCTGGAGCCTGTAAGTCTTAGCTGAGGTCCTCCTGAGGTGTGCAGGGTCCCGTGCACTCACCCCATCTGAAAACAGTGGGGATTCATCTCTCTCCCACTGTAACAGGTCCTCTGCGGTAAAAGAGCAGAAACCTTCCTGCGTTCCTCTTTCCATGGAGTGTCTGTGGATCTGCACTAGTGCTTAGATAGAAATAAACTCTGCCTCCTGAGATTAGCGGCCCTAACTTAATTTTCAGCGTCCCACAGATAAGGATGGTCAGCCATGAGTTACACAGTTATTCTCCTAAGTTGCTTTGTGTGTGCAACACACAGAGATGCTGACATCACTCGTTGATTTCATCTGGCCTTGTCCCCTGAACCTTGATCGAAACCTAGCTAAGTCATGCTGGCCTTAGGAACCACATCTGGAGTATTGGGAGATGCCTGGGTTCAGATCTCTGCCGCCTTGGCTGTCCCATGCTGTGTGTACCACCGGCCTGCTCAGGGGCAGCTGAACCCAGAGGCACTTCTGTGACAGAGGGCCAGCAGGGGGGCTGCTGTCTCATAGAAGCTAAACTCTTCATCCCACACTCTGTGTTTCAGAACAAGAAGAAAACTTTGAGTTTATCATTGTGTCCCTCACTGGCCAAACGTGGCACTTTGAAGCCACGACGTATGAGGAGCGGGACGCCTGGGTCCAAGCCATCGAGAGCCAGATCCTGGCCAGCCTGCAGTCGTGCGAGAGCAGCAAGAACAAGGTGAGGCCCCAGGCTGCCCAAAACCAAGGCTGCAGCTGCTCGGGGGGAATGCGGCTGCTCAGAGGGAATACGACCCGAGTAATGTCCCAGGGAGGGGGAAACACATGACAGGTGCAGATGGCAGGACCTAGCCATTCTTCATAAGCAGGAAGCTCAATAACTAAAAAGATAAGAAACACTTCGTGTCTGTGCCATCACACATCAGCGTCCCAGCCTGACCATGCTCCCTGGCAGAATCGCCGGCGTTAAATCCTCACTCTCAGCCAGTCCCAGAGGGAATCTTTTAGACTCTTGTGGCTTCTAAGTCCACATTTGTTTTTGTTTTGGACAGAATACACTCAGAAAAAGGGATACGGACTTCAAAGATGCACTGTTCTGATCTCATAAATGCCCAGAATTCAAATCGACATCAGGCTGGAAAACCATCCCTTGTTCGGAGCATAAATGAAAAGTAGATGGGTCTACATGAGCATGCAGGGAGTTTGGGAAGATAAAAGCTTCTGTTATCTAAACTTACAAAGCCTGGCGTATGTTTTATTCAGTAATTAGAGGTGGTATTGCAGCTTTTTTAGAATTTGTCTAGCAGGTTTTCTGGTTTTGACCAGAAAATGCCATCCCAGAATTTTTCTGTATTGAAAAAAAAAAATTAAAGATAATTTTTTTGTAGTTATTTAGCTAGGAAAAATAAAGATTTTCACCTGTAAAAAAGAAATTTTTTTTCACCTGTATTTTTTTGTTGTTTTTTTTGTTTGCTTGTTTGTTTTCTGAGAGAGCTCTCTCTTATCACCTAGGCTGGAGCACAGTGGCACAATCTGAGCTCACTGCAACCTCCAAACTCAGGCAATCCTCCTACCTCAGCCTCCTGAGGAGCCAGGACTACAGGCACATGCCGCCATTCCTGGCTTACTTATTTATTTACATATATATTTATTTAATATAGATTCTTTGCAGAGGTGGGGTTTTATCATGTTGCTCAGGCTGGTCTTAAACTTCTGGGCTCAAGCGATCAACCTGCCTCAGACACCCAGAGTGCTGGGGTTACAGGCACGAGCCTCTGCGCCTGGCTTCACCTGTATTCTCTAGGCTACTGCCCAGTGATACTCCTTCTACAGAAGTCCTTTTTCCCATCAAGGATTGCTTCAATTTCATTATTTTAATGTTTGGTTGTCGTTAACCTCTTTGCTGGGACGTTTTAGACTTTTAGAAAGCATTCTGATACTTCAAACCACGATCAACTAGAAACTCAGAGAAACGGTGTTGCCCACTAATCTGCAGTTTCATTTGTCACCATTTAAAGAAATTTCTGCCAATGATTTATGTGCAGCTTTGTCACTAAAAAGAGAGTCTGTCTTTCAGAAAGATAGAGTGTCTTATTTTATTACCCTCTTTAACCAGGGTAAACCAGACCACAGTCATTATTATTATAATGTAATTTGCTTCCCTTTTGAAAAGATGTTTTATACCTAAGGTGGGGAGAACCACTGCCTTTCATTCCGGACACCCTGGCTTTGCCGGGTCACGTCTGCGTCATCCATGGTGTGCCTCCTGAAATGAGCACAGGGTGCTTTGGGGCCGCCGCAACAGGGAGCAATTGCATGCGGCATCCTTCAGGCGTGAGCAGCTCTTTCTGACAAGGCAGGCGTGGGACAGGATGTGTTACTTAGCAGAGAGTCACATGCCCTGACTTCATGGGGGAACCAGAGTCTCTCACCGCAGACTCTGAACCCATGCCACCTCCACCTAATTCAGGAAGCTCTGGGATGGCGGCAGCCTTTCCCTTCCACACCTTGCCAGGCTTCTCCCGACTCGCATCTCAGCCGAGGCACATGCCAGCCTTAGAATGCTGCCCTTGGCTCTCAGTAGGTGCAGGTGCTCCAGGGAGCTGCTTCTCCTGGGAGGAGGATGCGTTGAGCAGCCAAAGGTGGCAGATTCACACCTGGGCATTGGCTGAATAGGTGTGAGGGTGTGAAACATGGAAATACTCTCCACAATGAGTGGCAGGAGGGCAAAAACACAGGCCCAATTGACCACCAGCTTTATAGTATTTTACCTGCCAGTGGATAATTGAGAGCTGATACAGCTAGATACAGCTGATGCAGATACAGATAATTGAGAGCTGATACAGCTGGACAGACAAACCGACCACAGAAATGATACAGGCACATAGAGAGACAGAGGCACATCCCTGTTTGTGTGTGTGTGTGTGTGTGTGTGTGTGTGTTCACACATGTGCATTCCAGATGCCAATATAAACTGTTTAAACATATTTTGAATACTTGGGTATCTAACCAAAGGGAATTAAAATTCAATAATGTGTGATGCTAACTAGACAGTAGTAATTAGTACATTATAATTTATTATGCAGCAAGTAATATATTTCACATCAGTCTGACATGAGACGGTTCAATTTATAAAGAATTCTTACACGAAAATCAAGCTTATTGTAACTGTCCTTTGAAATTGATTCAGTTTTTGCTTTAACTGTAATATTAAATGCATATTTAATAAATAAGCCTTAAAAACTGTACATATCAGCCATACATGATGGTTCACGCCTGTACTCCCAGTTCTTTGGGAGGCTAAGGTGGGAGGATCACTTGAGGCCAGAAGTTCAAGACCAGCCCGGGCAACATAGGGAGACCCCCGTCTCTACAAAAATATTTAAAATAGCAAGGTACATGGCTCACACCTGTAGTTTTTTCAGTTACTCAGGAGGCTGAGGCGGGAGGACCACTTTAGCCCAGGAGTTGGAGGCTGCAGTGAGCCATGATTGCATTACCCCAGCCTGGGCAACAGAGCAGGACCCTCTCTCTATGGGGGAAAAGCTACATATCCAGTACATACCCTTTCACTTAGAACCCCTGCTTCCAGGAACCCATTCTTAGCAAATAATCATGAATGCGTACCCAGACGTAGCCATTATATGTTCTTGCAGCATTGTTTGATAGAGAAAAATTGGAAGCCACTTAAATGTACATCAGAGAGAACTTGATAAGTCCTCACTAAGTGGAATGCTATGTAGCCGTTTAAAATGGTGATGTCAGAGACCGTGTGATGGCACTGAGCAATGATCAGATTTCGTTAGGCTGAAAGGGCAGGTTTCAATGCAG